GTTTTCGGCATACTTCTGGAAATTAGAAGAAAATTATTATTATTATTATTCAACAAAAAAGTTAGTTATTATTTTCCGTCCCATGCCGGATTTTGTAGTGCTACGACAGGGAATTGTAAACAGACAAAAAAAAATTTCAAACTATCAATCAAGGCCGAAATCAACATTTCCCAGCAAAAAGTGTTCACAATTAAGATTTTTTCTATTTGACATTATGAGGAAAATTTCATTGGACATTGTACAAGAAAAATCAACATTTTAATAAAATCATTTCCTATGAAACCTATGATTTTGATACCACTAGAAAGTCCGTGTCATACTCTTCGTAAGTATCTTTTTATACAATTTTGTTCTTTCTAACAAGAAAACTATAAAGTCTTCACGAAGAGTTATAGCTACGTTATACTGAAAAACAAAATTAATCTCAAAACTTTTTGCACTTATTCATCAACAATATTGAAATTTATCTTTACCTAATATCAACATACTACCAATCATAACTGGAATTAATTTACAACTTTTAAACATCATATGAGTTGGATAATTAAGACGCATCACAGCTGCATTACTTAAACCCATTGTACCAAGAGTAAACAATGCAATTACAGCATAAGTTTGAATAGGTGCTCTATATACAAAAAACAAGAAATAACAATGATGTTCAATTCATAAAACCGCTATGACTAACATGGGAATCTCTCCAGGTGCTAAATCACTTTTCAGTATTTCAAGATCGAAGGTCCGAAAAACCAAATCATTCCAGACTTTTCTATTACTCATTAAATCAATATCGTCTCAATCGAAAAATGGTTCGATACCTGCAGAGGTTCTCTCGTGAGTAGCTACTTTGTTCGGCACGTATTCACAAGGTAGTGTATGCAAACCTCAGATGGATAACTACTGTTGTAGCTAGTTAGTATGTATTAGGAGCTCAAGCGATTGAGTGCAGAATTACAGCTAGTCATAGTTGCAGGAACAATATCAGACTGTTGTAAGTTAGCTGAACGGCAAGAGTATTCTTTCTTCGATCAATGAAAAATTAACTAAGATTTGAAATGTCTTACTTTCGTCTTTTTATTGTTCGTTCAAATAATAATTGTTCTATATATGCCAAAAGTGTAAAACATACAAAATAAACGAGTGTAAAATAATTTGGATAAAGTCGTAATGATTTTAATTGTAAAATTAATTCCTATTCGATAAAAATAATTTTTTTTTTTTGTTATTAATTTCTTTTAAAAAAAACCTGCATATATCCTTGAATAACATGAAAAATAAGTACAGCTGTTGATGTTAATAAAAATTGTATTAAACGATTATAACCAGATAAATTTATACCAAATAAATAAATTGATGATGACGATGTATGAAGATTCATCATCATTAAATTTCATGTTATTCTTAATTTATTTTCATCTATAAATAAAAATTTATTATCGTTTCTTTTTTTTTTTTTTATAAACGAATATTAGTAATTATGTATTTATATTAATAAGAAAAAAACAAAAATGAGATTCTTTAATCAAACAGGTAATGTTTTGCTTATTGTTGTTATTGATGGTGTTAAAATATTTGGCCACCAACGAGAATTAAATAACCTAGTCATTAATGATGCTATTTTAGTATTAAATGCAGTTTGATGTCGACTATAAATATTAAGATAAATACCAATAATCACAATTAAACCAGACCAAATATAACTAAAAAAAAACAAAAGAGATAGAGTATATACATCGATGTAAATATCATTAAATTCATCCAAGCTTACGAATCCGGGATGGTATCTCAGTCATGTTAAGACTAGAAGGATTCTTTTCAGTGCGCTGTCCCCTTTGGAATTGACAAGACCACGCACGATAAAAGTCGAAATCTGTCACCCCCATAAAATGTTGTTTTAATATTATTATTTTGTATTTTGCACCTTGGCTCATATTTATTCATTTCAATTTTTCCAAATGAACTCTTACTTACTGAGATAGGCCTATGTCTTTACGTCCAGGTAGTGAGGTAAAATATGGATATATTCGAACCCTGGAAGTACACTTTTCTCTGTCATAAAAAAAGATTTTTAAAATTCTAATTAAATATTTCAAATCAGCACTAAGCACTCTATCCTTCTGTATAATTTTTATTTTTCCAAAAAACTCCTAATCTTAAAAACAAAATTTGAACAAAGCCATCCAAGGGTGTACACATCGAAAATATACA